CTTTCTTGGGTGAGCCGGTCGGCATCACCGACACTTCATTCAAGGTCAGTTAATGACTCAGACCTCTCACTCCCCACGTGAAACCACACTTTGCTTGCCCCATTTTTATTTCCTTGAATATTCAGTTGAAAGAAAGAAAKGCTGGTTTGTGTGTGCTCAAATGTGAAAAGGGAAGTGTTGTCTGACCTTGAGTGTTCCTGCCTACCATTGGAATATGTCTTGACTTTGTACTTTTGTTGCAGACATGTGAGTAAAAACTTTGTATGTCTAACGAGGACTGGGGTCTTGCGGATGAGACGCTCCGCCTATGAAAAACTCAAATGTTTTTTTTTGTTTTGGTTCATAAGATCCTTGGTCGATTGAGGTTCACGAGGGAGGGATCTTGTCATTGATTTTGTCTTCCTTTGTTCGGTTAGGCGATCTCCGCATTAGGAGTTCAACGATGTGGATCGTCTGTTACATTACTATGACGCGACCGTCACCTATTACCCGCGACAAGAATTGTAGGACGCGGCAAAATGGGTCGACAAGGCTCCACTATTTTACCCTTTTGCCTTCTTTTTTGAACTATCCGGCGCCTAGGAAATAGCTCCGATAAGCACGCACCTAGCAGCCTCGTCTGGCTTGAGGAGCATCACGGAAGGATGGGTAGCTTCCAACTCCCCTTGGCCTTATGGGACTAAGCAGCGATAGGAATCGCCCTACATTTAGCCCGTGCACGCTTGACGTCGTTCTATATAAATAGCCCAGCCTCTCGTATATTTCACTTCACTACAAGGTTTTTGTGTTGCCGGTTCGTTTTCTAGGAGGACGACGGAAGTTAGTTCGTCGTGGCCTCCATTGCTTATCGTGCCGAGTCTTGGACAAGGGAGTGAGTCGGTCAGTCGGAGAAATGGGGGCGAGGGTAGCAGACAACACGGGCGCCGCAGGCGGTGCCGCCTCGAGCAGTTCACGACGGAGGGTCGCGACAGTCGCCACCATCATGCTGTTTCCAAGCAAGACGGAGGCAAGGGCGTCTACTGTAGCCTTGGGAGGTTTTAGGCAAGGATGGGCGAGAGTCGACCGCATGGTCTTCCATCCCGCGGACGTCTTCCCGGACGAGGTGGAGCTCAGGGAGGACCAGGGAACCCTTTAAAACCCGCCACGGATTTATGCATTTGTGACAACGGTCATGAAGCTGGTTCTAGGCGTCGGCGTCTGCCTCCTTAGGAAGAAGCATTGGTTCGACGTCGGGGTCGTCTACGACGTCGTGAACAAGTCTATCCACCGCAAGTTCGAGGACGAGATCATGTGGTTGTCCCTACGCGTTATGCGGAACCACCACGCTCGGCAGGGACCATTCATATACATTGAGCATTACGATCGCATCGGACCATACGATGTCGGATTCCGTGTCGCGGAGAGATGTGACGATGAGGCCCTCCAGCGGCAGGAGGAAAATTTGCTGAAACTTTTTCGTATCTGATGATGGCTCCTTGTGATGTAGGATGGCTGGAGCTAGGCGTGACCTAACGATCCCCAGGTATCTCCTGATTCGAGATACGAACGATGCAGACCGCATCGCCTGGGCGGAGAGGATGTCGATGGTGTTCGATTGGACTCCGACTAGATGGCTCGGCTTTGTCGGAATCGTCAACGACGGACGTGGGTTCCTTCCGGAAGAGCGATCGAAGATTCGACCGAACGTGATTCGGCGTCCGAACGAGTTGCAGGGGCATACAATGTATTTTCATCGTGTCTCGAACATGGAGCTTGTCTCTCAAGTCACCGCTAGAGTACTCTTTAGAAGATCCGGAGCGCGGATGGTGTTCCTTTGGCTTCGAGACACTTCCGCCCGACACCTTAAGCGCCTCGGTGTACCTTTCTGGTCCGTCCTATTGACATTGGCGCGACGAATAGCGGAGCTCTACAACACGAACCACCTACGACTACGATGAGAATGACGAGTGCGGAGGATGACGATTAACGAGGCGTTCATCCAGCGGCATACCCGGCTAGATAGACACGCTTGGGAGACTCACACGCTTTACGGTCACTAGGAGTCGTCCACCCTCTATAGGTTCCTCTAGAGTGGACCGTCCAGCGGAGGGTAGCGAGTTAGACTCCTACGATCGGATCATCATGCTTCGCCCTCGAGAGAGCTAAAACATGATAAAACTCAGTAGTGTCGACCAAGAAAACATGGCCAGCCCACCCTTATGATTATCATTTTTCCACGATGAATTTCGCTGGTGTCATGATGAGGGGTGAAGGCGGCACATAAATTTTGTTCCTTTCTTTTGTACATATTTAAGATTGATGGTCGTTCAAAGTTAGGCGATGACCCCTGTACTAGGAGGGACGCAAGTGGTTTGGATAACAGGGAGTCAGAGGAAAAATAATAGAGAATATCTTGGGTATATCTCTACAATGCGGAGTTGCTTTTGCAAATTTGATTCAGTAAGTTCCTGTCTCTGCAAGTTGTGACCGTCGACGGTGTCGAGGAGGTGATCCTCTTGTTAGTTTTTACGTACATCAATTGTGGAATGCTCTTGAAAACTTTCATTTCAACTTTATGAGATAGTAAAGACAAAGGCATATTCTCTGTCATCATACCTGCCAAAGATTGTTGTTTCCGCCTTTGGGATGATTCGCTACCTGCATGCTGCATTTGTACATCTTCGTTTGCAACCTCTATGTGCCTTGACTGTCATGTAGGTGCTTTTGGTAACGGCTTCAAAAATGTTTGGTTGTAACGCTCATGTGCCTAAATGGGACATCTATGTGCGAATTGGTTACCACTCTCGCGTGATTGTTAGCAACATCTGTTTATGCCGTGATTGTTTACATGCATGTGTTTAATTGTAACATCTGAATGTCTCATGTAACCCATATGTGTGTTTTCTGTTGCAATGACACTGTCTTTCAGAAAACGTCTTTATAAAAGACTAGGAGTGACTTCGATGGGATTATTCTATATTCACCTATAAGAATTGTCTGTGCTACGGCAAAGCGAGCAAAACGCCCCTGACTGGTCTACCTCTGCGATTGCATGTAAAAACTTTCGTATGTAGATCAGTAGCTCGGTAGGGATACGCCTCTGAGGATGGTGATAGCTCCTCAGGGAAGACGACTTGTGCCTCGCGGGACCCTGACCTATCGTAGGGGAATGCGAGAAGTACGACTGGCGCACCCGGCTAGAACGGCAAAACCCCGTTGTTCACCTCGATGAATTTTGGGGGATGCATTCCGACTCTAAAAAGAAAGATATCAAACTCCTGCGTGATGCGGCCGGGAGGTCCCCCTTTATGCGTTACGATGCGAAGGGGGGTCGTTGCGTCCGACCGTTGTCCCTGGTGGAACGACACTCGGGTAAGGTAATCCCGAATAATTACCTTGTATTATTATTTAACGGTCCGGTTGTGAGTTGGTTTCCTCTCGAAAGGACAAATGACATTATCGTGACAATGACCCTAGTACGACTGAGAGAGTGTGAGATAATAATGACTCAACATGGATGGGTCATTCCGATCGGTCAGAAACCACATAATGCAATGAGTTTGATAAAAATCTTTCCTGACTCGCGTATCTGATTGTGATCGTTGTTCCTCCTGACACTTCGCTCAAGATGGGGAACCCCAACCTCGCTGAGAACGATAGTCTGGGCGACAAAAGATGCAATGACATACAGGAACTCGCAAGGCTTATCCGACAAACCACCACGCCACATGAGAAGTTTTCGAAAATCAAGGTTCCTCTGTTCGATGGGGAAAATGTTACGGACTGTCTAGAAAAATATTAGTTGAATGCTCATGTACGTCAATGGACTGAATGAAAGATGTTGGAAGTAGTAAAACGCTATGTGCACGTTGATCTTGCAGAAGAAGTCGGTGAGATGGCGTGTAGGACACGAATCGGGAAAACATTCTGTGAACGAATGTTGGAAAAATACCAGCTAGGAGACGAATTGTTGGACGTCTCTGACCTTCGTAAAGTAAGTCGGGAGAAATTTGGGACGATCGAGGGGTTCCTAAAGAGGTTTGAGAAGGTAGCTAAGAGAGTTCCCGATCTTCCCGATAAGACGAAATACATTATCTTTCTGACCAACTTCACGGAAGTCGCGCAAAGAGAATTGATGAAGGGTTTTATTACCAGATACGATTGGGATAAGATTAAGGAGAATCTTAAGGTCGGTGACTTCGACCAAATGCTCTATCATCTCATGCGCAGGCAAAGGAAAATGCAGGAGGATGAGTTAGTAAGTTGTGATAAGGATAAGGAGATGTTCGAGGCAATAATGGATGTTAGGATGATGATGAAAGAAATGAGGAAGGAGGGACTGTGTGGCAAGGTACTGACAGTGAGGCAACAAGACGGCAAGAGAAAAAGAAAACTGAGGGAAGAAGAGTCCGACGAGGAAGATAGTGAAAAGAAAGAAGAAGAAGAACCTCTTCGGAAAGCGACGAAGGCTGAATGAAAGGCCATGAATCAAAGGTACGAATGAAAAGCAAGCCAAGAATAAGAGTGGTCATGAAAATGATAATTGTGATACTATCAATCAGCATCAGAGACAATTTTAAGATACCGAGCCCCGACAATTTCGGCCGCAAGGCGGAGGAGGCCGGGGGCGTGGTCGGGAAGCTTCAGGTGGTCGCGGTTACGGTAATAAGGATTGAAATTGTAACTACTGTGCACAAAGAGGGCACGGTGTCCGATATTGTCAGACCCTCGCTAAAGATGAAGAGGATCGGATTGTGTACACGAACATTCGAGGCGAGGTATTCGATTTCGAAGGGAACCTTATCGACTCATACAAAGAAGGAGGAATGAGGAATGAAGCATTTCGACGCATGAACCGGACCATGCCCTGCACTGGCCTCGAAAGAGGAAATGAAAATTCTTGATTCTAGATAAGCTGCACGCCAGACAATTGTTAGTAAGCCTGATGTTAGTAAGGGCAAGACCGAAAAGGAGAGGGATGTGCGAAAAACCTTAAGCTCGAGAAGCGGCTTAGAGGCATTTGGAGGCCAAGTTATGAGACTGGGTCTCGACATGGAACGAGTTGGCCTGGCATGCCGAATATGTTTCTGCTTGGTGGACACGATGGGAGAAGGGGCGTGGCTCCTTTGGCGGCGTCTCTGTCAGCATTACGTACGGAGAAGCCGTCATCGTCCCACCTTCAGACGACCTCTGCGGGAACGCGTTCCGTCTTGAACAGGCCCGTCCTCCGAAGAGAAACGTCACCAACGGTCCCTCAAGCACAAAAGATTAAGGAGGGAATCCAACCTCGAGTCGCGCCCGTTGTCAGTGCGAAGGCGAAACAAGAGGCGCTGGTAGTCATCGTGGAAGGAGACTTGGACACGGAAGATGAGAAATTAAGGGCAGAGGACGAGCGTCAGGCAAGGTTACGTGCCCAGAAAGGAGGTCTGGATGAGAATCAAGATAAGGATAAGGATGAGAGAGAAGAGGAAGAGCACCTGAAGAAGAAGAAACGGTACACGATTCCGATTGAGGAAGGGATCGACATTGAGAAGATGGTGGATAAGATGCTTGAGAGTCATCGAGATTTGGTAACACTCGAGGAATTTTTGGCAGTCTCGCCAAAGATTCGGGAAGAGCTTAAGCAAAGACTAACTCGACGAAAAGTGATGACGGTTAAACTAGGGGAGGTAATCCCACCTGAGGCCAATTGGACTCCTGCGGGAGTAAAGATGGATTGGAGGTGTGTAGCGACTGGGCACGTAATGGTCAAGATAGGTGTTTCACAACATCTTGCGCTCGTTGACACAGTAGTGGAGATGAATATATTAAGAGAAAAAGTGGGGCTAGAGTTAAGAATTGAGATTGATCGCATTGATAATGGATTTCTGGTTGGCGCCGGAGGGTCGACACCCTTCTGTGGAACTGCCAGTAACGTCAGTATACAGATCGGCAAGGTAAATGTAAGATCTTATTTTTACGTATTGCCACTGTTTGAGCATGAAATACGTTATTCGTTAAAATATGACATTATATTGTGTCCTCTTTCGAACGAATTCAGTTTCATCTGCAGCCTAAGCAACCTAGGCATACCCATCCACTCACCCATCCACTCGCCCCATATGCGGAAGTGTGCTGGGATCCATACTTGTTTATTATGAGCAAGGTGTGCCTGATATGCGGAAGTGTGCCGAGATCCATACTTATGTATAATTCCGATGAGCAAGGCGCCTTGATTGTGTCCTTATCAGAGAAGTTTGATAAGTGTACTGAGATTCATACTAAGTCTTATTTTCGATTGTGATGAGCAAGGCGCCTTGATTGTATCCTTGCCGAAAAAGTTTGATAAGTGTGCTGAGATCCATACTTATTTCTGATCGTGATGAGCAAGGTTCCTTGATTGTGATGAGCAAGGTGCCTTGAGCAGCACAACCTGCGACCCCCACTGATGGATAATCACAGCAACACAATGACGTCGACTCCTTGTTGTGTTTGAATGTTGGAACGTCGAAAGTTCCAGTGGGCAGAGTTGAGAAAGGGAAGAAGGGAACTACCGCGCTTACTGCTGCGGGATTGAGTCTTCCCCCAATCCCCCATAAGAGCAGCGTGCTGCTCTTATGGGTGCCACATAGTGCGCCGGCCCGCATCGGGGCCGGCCACCTTAATCCAGGCCAACTTCATGTCGGGAACTGGTCTTATGGGTGTCACATAGTGCGCCGCGTTGCGGTGATACGAGCGGAAAAAGGGATTTGAACCCCCAACCTTACGTTTCTCACACATGGCTTTTGAATGATGTAGCGTAAGCTCACGGTCATGCCTATATAGGTCAGGCGCGCGCTCGCAGCGGAATAACCAACAGGAAAAAGTTATGGGTGCACCCGAGCAGTGCGGCGGAACAGGCAGTTGGACAGCAGGCGACCACTGCGGTGAATTCAGAGAAACCAGTGCCCTCATAGAGTTGGTCCCAGCGAGGCCGTTACGTGATGGCGCAGGGGCGACTCATGGCACGCGGAAACGCAAGCAGCACCGCGGACGGCACGTGGAAATGCAAGATGAATCTCACGCCCGCGACTGTGTCTAAAACTGCCATGCACCCCAAAAAAAATTTCCACAAGTGGACTAATTCTAAGAGCAGTGCTAAAGCAGAACACGACGAGCGCACGTGAAAACGAACGAGCACCATCATCGGAATTTCGGATATCGACGGACTACAGCCTCTTCGCCCCCGCCCCCGACAAGAGTCTTATGTAGGTTGTCGCACATGCAATAATAATAATAGAGCGCAACACGAGTTGTTCCACTGCACGAAAAGAGAGTGAGAGAACGTCATTTAAGGGCTAGAAGACACGTGAGAACACAAATGCCTTCAAATAGCAAAATTGCAAACCGTCGTGACAAGCAAGGGGCAGCAATCCAATTTCACGCCTTACTTTCCACACACAACATACAGAGGAAGTGAATCGCACAAGGCCGATATCGAAAGTTCGGATGCCGGCGGAGTACAGCCTCTTCGCCCCCCCTCGACAACAATCTTATGTATCACAACCTACATAAGATTGTTGCCGGGGGGGTGAAGAGGCTGTAGTCCGCCGATATCCGAACTTTCGATGTCGGTGCCCTGTGCGTTTCACTTGCAATAGAAATCATAGAGTGCAACACGAATTGTTCCACTGCACGACAAGAGACTCAGGTGACAAAGTCCACACATGAAAAAGTCATCCAACTACAAGAAAAGAATGTCGAACTGCACGAAAATAGTACCACTGCCATACCGACAGCGAGCATCCCACAGGCAAATAGAAACAGACCCAATGAAGAAAACAATGTTGAATAATGCCTTATGTTACCAAATACAATTGCCATAGAATGAAATACATTTAAAGAATTCTATACAATTCATTGAAAACTGTCAAAGACAACGTCCTTCCAAGAGACATGTTGCTAATTGTCGTCTAATAACAGGTAAATCTTTACTAGAGAATCTGAAAGGGGGTCGATCACCATATTGCAACAGCGTTGCAAATGTCAACATGAACACCCCGCAACTAGCTCCATCAACTTGCCTTGGAACTCCTTTCACAACAATTTTTCTGACCATAATCTTCCAACTCCTATCCGACCGGCTATGTGAGGTATGACGTTCTAAATACTGTACAATCAACTCGAAAACACTATGGTAGAAACTGGAATCGGCTTTAACGCGAGGAAAATAGTCAAAAATTTCGAAGACATTGTCTCTCAAATTAACGGAAAGTAGGGTCTAGTGATCATTATGTTTGTGCACCGGAACAAAGATCATATCGAACTGATGCAAATCAACGTTTTTAGCCCACCTCTGCACCCCAGTGTGTCCTCGAAGTTGCAGCATACTGAAGAAAAAAGAATTGAAGCTGAAGATTCGAAGGCCTGACGGTCGTGCACGTGTGGCGGATGCCGTCGACCCCAAAAGGGCCATGTAGAAATTCACCACCTCATCGTTGATCTTGCCATTCGCTTGCAAAACGGTGAGCATATCTTTCGCCGTGATTCTGAATTGATCATCCGCAAAGGAAGAGAGGACATGATGAGGAGGCACCACGCTGCGAGAAACATCGTCCATAACCCGCGAGACTTGAGGCGCAATCGCCGTAGCGAAATGCCCCCCCCAGGCTGCAGGTGCTGTGGCCCGAGCTGCACATCATCGACCAACGCACACGCGGGGAAGTGAGAAAGGAAGTTCTAAAGGTTGTCGTTCACCGCACGACACGTCGCTAAGTATTTTTCATACATGGCCTGACCCCTAGTCACAGATCGTGGATGTGTCCCCTTCTCCGCAGGTAGAAGGGAAAGACATTCGTCAATGGCTAAGGCATGCTCCTTCTCTCCAATCTCGACATCAACCCCTGATGCCTTTAACATATTCTTGTTTCTTGTCGTGAATCTCGGAAGTTTCTGCAATACACGTTCCGGATATTTTGAGAAACTCCTTTTTCGAGACGACCGGACCCCTGTAAAACAGAGAACAGACAGATCCCGAAATGAATATATGATTCCCAGGAGGAGTTCGACGAAAGTGACAATGTGAAAGATAATGTAGCCCACAAGCATGCTTGCATTCGGACATAAAACGACGAGCGTTGTCGAGCCCAAGACCCTAGCACATGACGACGAAGACCACATCAGGCCAAAGAAGAGGAACGCCTACCAATGCTGAAGTTCTGATTTTGGCGGACTTGCAACTACAACTAGCATACACGGACCAGCCGGGTTTGGTCCTGACACTGGAACTGCGGTGACCGGAGGAAACCAAAACTTCGAGGTGGAAAGTCGGCATTTGCCGATGTGCGGATTCCAGCGGACTTGCAGCCACAGTTCGCAAACACCGACCAACGGGGCGTGCTCCACCTTGTAGTTCGGATGCCGGCGGACTTCAAAACAGACCTTCTATATTACCGTTTTTCTGGCGGTTTCCGCAGTTCCAGTGTCAGGACCAAACCCGGTTCTGCGACCTGACCTGCTGGTTGTAGCTACAAGTCCGCTGGAATCCGAAATTCATCATTTGTAAACATTCCTCTTCTTTGGCGTGATGTGTTCTTTCGTCGTCATGTGCAGGGTTCTCGGGCTAGACTGCGCCCGTCGTTTTATGTGCGAATGCACACAAGCTCGTCGCTGCGAAAATCGTTCATCGAACGGTCTGTCTTGTAGTCCGCCGGTATCCGCACTTCAGGTGTCGACCAGAGATAGAAAGTCAAGACGACGACAGAGGACTTGTAGAGGGAGGAGCGGATGAGCGGTCGCAGAATAAAGCGTGACAGTGTGTTAAAGAACAAGCAGCCAATTGGTCGTCGCTGACAAGTGAAGCGGAATTTTGTCCATCTAACGTGGGGCATAAACCGACAAGGGGGTTAACAGACAGCGTCGACAATCCCGAAACGCGGGAGTGCTGACATCGCGACGATCGTCAATGCTTACCAGCTTGTTTTTCTTTCCGCTCCTTCGTCGGCGACGTGGGCGCTGGTAAGGCGAGGACAGCCAAGGCCGGAGTGCCTACCTTGCACTTTTTCGGGGACGTGATGTGCTGGCAGCCCCCAACAACCCCCCCCCTTCCTCCTGTGAGCGGTGACCAGGGTACCGGAAAGCACGACTGGGTGAGCGCCAAGTCCCCGACCGTGAAAGTTTCATTGCTGAGAAGTGCATCGTCTACCTCGTCCAAGGACTCCCCCATCTTGTAAATGTGTTAGTATCCTCCGAACCAACCCGCCACGAAGCGCGGCACCCAGGTTTGGACTAACTGGCACGGCAACCCGAGCTTCTCCCATCCCCCCATTTCAAACCTGTTGCGGACTTCATCTCATCCTTCGATGGCAAATTCCTTCGCCTTGTCGCGAGTCCACTGTTCGGCTTCCCCCAAAATCCACATTGGGTCCTTCCCAGATGCCAGCACTACGCAAAAACAGGTGCCAATTTTTTTTCGATAGGGACACCGTCCCTAAAGACTCCACATTCCCTTCGGCTATATCGTCTCATCCTTCTTCTTCTCTTACTAGGTTTCACATCTTTTCTACCCATAGGTATGACAATTCCGCCACGATCTCTTCCCCACACAGTCACAGACAGTTCCTCTTCATTCGTTCCTTGTGGGTAGGACCGTTTTTCTCTCTCCCTCAAGCTTCAATGGTTTTCATCCCCTAAGCACGCGATCGTTCAAGCGTTGTTCTCTAGTTATTCCTGTTTTTCTACACAGCGCTGTCGAGCGCATTCGGTCCGGCACCGCACCAGGGCAGCGCGGGAGCCTCCCGGCCGCGTCACGCAGGAGTTGGACCAACCTTGCCGCGAACACACAAATGGAGCTTCTGCAAGCCGCTCCGGCCGAGTGCGTCAGCCATATCTCTCGCGAGCCCCTACGACAGGATAGGGCCTACGCGAGGCACGACTTACCTCCACCTTACGGGAGCTGTCACCTCCCTTCGGTGGGCGTATCCCCGCCGAGCTACCAGTCCACAGTACGAAAGCTAATCAGTTGCAATCGCAGAGGTGGACAAGCCGAGGGCGTTTCTCGTTCGTTGTAGCATAGAGGGTACGCGCGGTAATACGCCTATTGAACCCGCACGCGAACCGACATCTTGGGGGACTGAAGTCCCAAGCGCGGCTCGTCATCGGTCGACTAGGACGCATCCCACACACCACACGCACACCACTTTAACAACCACAAAACAAAACACGCACACACACATACACACACGAAACGACACAACACAAGCAACTYGACAACTCTCCTAGCCCCTTAGTAGCCGTCCCATAACTTTCCRACGCGRAAATCGGATAGGCGTCGCGCGCGAGGTTTAGTATAAAATCACGCGGACGCAGGGCTAACTCATATCGATTCGCAATGCAAGCGTACGCAAGCGGCCGCAATGATGGCGTACTATGTAGTACCCATACTCATGCGGTCCTCGTTAATCTTGAGGGTCGCATTCGACACTTAAGTGTCGGCTGACACGCACCTTGAGGGTAAATCTCTCGACGCTGGACAACCGCCAAGCGCGGTTGAAGACCACACACCCTCTTCTGCACTTTGTGCAGAGTGGGTGGTACACAAGTCCAAACCTGTAGTAGTAGTCGTCCCTTGCGGCCCTAGGGGTAAGTCCTCCTTGGGCCTGGGCGAAAGTCAAGGGGTTTGACTTTGACGGCTGCCATGGACTACAACTTCCAACCATAAAAATCTCTATGAAGCAAAGGATAAAAGGGGATCTCCCTTTTCTCTCAAACCCATAATCTGTTTAACCCTTACGCGTGGTCCCAGTAGGCCGCACGAAACACTCGAGACATATATATACACACATATATATAGAGGGTTGCTAATATAGGATGATCACTTCTCACAGTCACAGTGGGGCCCCTCTCAGCCATATATGTATGTAATCGCAGACAGTCACATCCAGAAGTCGAACCACAACCATACGTGCAATCACATCAAAGATTCATCCAGAAGTCCACACACTACACGGGGTCAACTTCAATCGTTCCTTGCACTCATACCCCTCGCTTTAGCCATACAAGCCTCAACTTGTGCAACTCTCAAATAAATACTCAGTACTTTTGTTGGATGGTCATTCAATAAAGTCCGGGTGAAAACATAACAACACAGTTCAATCACAAGGTTCAAGCCTTAAGGTCGAGCGACAAGAGTGAATTGGAGTTGAATCGTAAACCGACGAATCGACAACCGACCTGTTATCAGTGATAACAGAAGAGTATCCTCAAGGGATCAAGCTAAATCTAGCCCAAATCCTGAATCAAACGGTCAAGAGGACATGTAACACAAAACAGACCAATCCCCAAGCTAAACCTATAAGTCTATGGAGAATAATCCCCATATCACGATCCCACTCAAATCACCTTAATTAACTAAGTCTGAATCTACCTATAAGCAGTGTCCAAAGCAAAGGTAGACCCTGACATAATCTCCCCTATTCAGGCCAAAGTCGCCACCTATCAAAATATAATCTAACTCCTCTAAATCAAGAAAATTTTGGCAGCGCTTCCCGTAGGAAAAGTGTCTTTTCAGAATTTATATAAGTTCAAATATGAAAGCGTAAATAATATTTTGCTCTAGAAAGTCAAATTTTGTCTAACTCCCTGAATTAGTAAAAATTTGGGCAGTATTCCCTTTAGAAAGGGGGACTTCCCAGATTTACACTAAGTCAGATATGAACTCAAAAGACAACTTGAGTTCAACTTAGAGAAGATTTAACCAACTCCTTAGTTTTGCAGAGATTTCGACAGCACCCCCTTTGGAAAAATGTTAGTCCAAGATTTATACAAAGCTAAGTTCAGGACTTGAAACTAACTTTGACTTCTCAAAGTCCAATTTTGTCTAACTCCCTATATTACCAAAAATTTGGGCAGCACTTCCTTTAGAAAAGGAGACTTTCCAGATTTTTACTAAGTCAGATATAAGAAAAGACAAAGTTGAACTTTTGACAAGTCAAAATTCGACTAACTCCTTGGTTTTGTAGAAATTTCGGCAACTCTTCCCGTAAAAAAAGTAGTTTGCCAAGATTTATATAAAGCCAAGTACAAAAAATTATCCCAGAAAATGCGAGAATTGATATAAGTGAAAAAAAAACTTAGCTCAGAAAATGCAGGAATTGAAAATAACTCCTATACCTCTAGCACGTGGCGAGCGACTTAAAGCAACTACCTATCAAACTGAAACTCAGATAAAGTAGTAACCTCACTCAGCCACATGCAGGTCAAACCACATAGGTAAGTACTCTCGTCATCCCAAGGCCAACTTGGCAGACAATAGTTCATAATCGTTCGATGCTTTATCCCTTCATACCCTGCTTACATAAGGCATAAAGTCAGGTCAGCCAAACTCATGGAATGCGCCTAACTTAGCCATTGAATATACACAAAATAAAGGGCACAACTACTTCTCTCTTCTTTGGGCGCACGACTAGGTCATTCTAGTCGCCCTGAACTATTTAAAATATCCAAATTATATATAATTGTCTACACTTAGTCTTCTAAGGTTGCATATGACTGAACAAACTTAAGTTCAATCTGTCCCAGTTTACCATCGATTTTATTCTTAATTATACTCTCTTCAAGTTGTGATAGGCTATAGTCAGACCACCTAAACTTATAGAACAGTCAGATTAGCTCGTTCTTAGAGAAGATAGTAATAAGGTGTCACGGCTGAGAACATGGAGGAGATCCAGTGCTTGATGAAATGGTTATCTCAGGTCTCCGACATGACAGCAAACTGGGGAAACAAGACACAGGGTTGGTGAGTCCACTCTCAAGGCGGGTGAAACCCTGAATCGCCGCACATTTCATGGCTCCCCTTGGAGGCCCCAGACTCCCCTCAGAATTTTAGGAGTCTTGATGACGGCAGCAGGTTGTCCTCCAACAAATAGCGAATGGATCACATCTCCGGCCCTAACCAAACTGGCAAACTGGGGAAAGAAGTCCACCTCCCTTCTAGGCAGAGCACTGATAATTAATAACGTGGTTTTTGCACTATTATGGTATAAGTCTCTCATCTGGCCCCAAAGCAAACAGGCGACACGAACACTTAAAGCTAAGGTGGCAACCTTTTTATGACGAGGAAATGGCAACCTACAAAATGTCATCAGCAGGGTGGCATGAGACTCGGTCATTCAACCAAAGAGTACAGCCGGTCTAGAAATAATAGATCCGACAGCACAAACCCAAACCCTATGACTGCATTGGATCAGAAAACTGATCTTCGACATGGATTCCCCCTGGCAACCTTTGGCCCTAGAGCACCTGACACGCCTAGCCCCGCCAGCCCCTCCCGGAGTGCACCCTCTTATGTGGTTGGAGGATCGCTATTGGACAATCCCAAGAAAATGGCTGAACAGGGGAAGGAGCCCGATTGAGGCCGTGGACCAATTCTGACCCTCATCGTTGAGAAGTTGGCGACCACTTCCCCCCCCCGGACAGAAAGCACCCTGACCGGTAGGAGGTTTTTCGTCAGCCCCTTTTTGGGAACCGCTGACTCACAAACAAGCAAGGCCAAGTGATGAACAACTCAACATATCCGTGGAAAGGATGAGAGAAACAAGGGGTAATCAGAATATGAGACATATGAAACTAAGAGCAGAAAAACTGGAAGACAGCAGAAGAACTACGTTCCACGCTAAAACACTGTCACGTCGCAAAAAACCTGGAAAACCATAGAGAGGATACCACTCTCTTGGTATAGGATACTGAGAAAAGGCCCTTCACTGAAGGAAGGGGACTGGGCCGGGCTTCGAGGAGACCCCGGGCACCTAGGGAGAATACAGT